GTGACGCAAGTCGCGGGAACAAAGTAGCTGTATGCTGTATGCCAGTGTTCAGTTCATGTAATGTAGGCTCTTTCTCCCTTTGGGTACTTTACAGAAGTATCTCTGTTCAGGTTTCAGTGGTTGGGTCATGGACCCCCACTTTGTAGAGGTTTACAACCCTCGAAGTCTACAAAGTGGCCTGACACAAGTTGCAACATGGCCCTTCATAAACCTCGCAAAATAGCACAACACACGAAGCAAGTTCGACTGTGATTTGCGTGTGAATTCGGATATCTATATATTGCATTTTACGTTTTCAGTGATAGTGAAGCAGCCGAAGTTCGTATGGGTTCTTCTTGGCAAATTCAGGTTGCCCTACTTGCCCAGTGACAGTGAAGCACTGAGTTAGGTTTGTGGACAATCCGGCAGCATTGAATCATATATCTAGTGAAGCAGCCCCTTATCCCCGTATTTGTTCATGGTAGTAATGACCTGTATTGATCATGACATAAAGATTTCACTCAGTAATGCTGGTTTAGACTTTGATATGGTATACTACGCTGACGATGCTAGACTGTTGTCAATTGACATCAGGGCCCTCAACGAACTTCTGAAGTTGACTGAAACAGTTTCTGCAAAATACGGCTTGAAATTAGACAAAGACCAATGCGTGGCAATACAAATGAACAACGAAGGCCTCGTCCATTTTGACAATCACGAACCGCTCCCAAAAAAGTGTGACGCGTCGTATCTAGGAAACGAAATCAACCGTGAAGTGAATATAAAACATGAAGTAATGAACAAAATGCAAAAGGATAGACAGATTTGGTTCAAGATGACGCCCTACTGGAAAGCATCATGTGCCAGTCAGAAATGGAAACTAATTAGAATCGACGCCGTAATAAGATTGAAACTGCTGTAATTATGGACTATGGACTAGAAACGGTGCATTTGACCAGTTCTTTGTTGAAGAAACTTGATGGTTTTCAGTTGCATGGCCTGAGAAAAATTATCGGGCTATCTCCGGCCTTCATTGATGGAGCCAATACAAATAGGGCCGTGATACAGAGGCATCTCAAATTGCTTTTCCGAGTGATGATCGACGAGTAAGGTTATTCAGTGAATACTACAACAGCGAGAGAGCAAGTCTTTTAGGGCACGTTATACGTGCACCGGAATCTGATCCCCTCAGACAGATATCGCTTCAGCCGAATTCTGCTTGGATGCGGCCGGCCCAGGCAAAATGGCAGCATTTTTCAAAAAACTACGCTTAGAATCTATACTCGGTCGTCATCTTTATGAGGAGACTCCTGTAGATGATACTTGCTTGCATCTACAATGCAGCCATACAAAGATTGTTTTAACATCGCCGGCAAGCGCTTAGCTGCGCCAACGTCGTGCTTCATCATATATACAGAATGTGTTGTGCAAACGGTCAATCTCTACAACGTGTCTTCAGCAAAAGCAGTTGTTGCCAAATGAGGTTTAGTTTGTGCACCAGAGAACTCAGCACAAAAAATCTGATCGCAGGAGAGTTTGAGCTGGGAAGAAGACTTGTCGCAAGAGTATGAATGCCAACTGCCAACCGAGCTGGTGTCTTGAGAACTGGCGTCGGGTGATGTGGCTCCACATTTAAAAAAACTTTCATTGTGGCAATTCATGTCAACTTGGCCTAGCTGGTTCAAATCGGCCAATGATTTGAGCGTACATTAGAGTTCAAAGAAATGTCCTGAATTGCGTTCTTCAGATCGTCTGCCTCTTGAGCCTTAGTCAGCGGCATTGAAGCGCCCCGCTTTGAACCATCAAATATCTTAGATACATAAAACATCATAAAACAGGTTATGAAAGCTCTGGAAGTTTCTCCAGTATTCATTGCAATATGACACCAGTTGAAGAAGTACGTCCTACTGGTGAAAGGTCTCCATTCATCAACAGCACATATGACACATGGATTTGATAACTGAACTGGTAGTTGATACAACTGCAACATTCCTATGAACAAAGCTGAACAAGTCCCCCTTCCAGGATTGACTCGACTGGGAAACCCAAGCCCGTTCATCCGCCACGCGCTGCTTCTGATCTCTCTCAGAATCAAGGGAAGCAGCAGCCTGGCAACATTTCAACTGTACTCATCTTATCTTCTGATAAAAGTGTAACTTTCTTCTCTCCCATTTCTCCCGTCTCCTGACACACCAGTCAGAGGCGAAGAACTCATATGCTGAAGAAAAGAACAAGGAGATGAAAAAAAGGAAGGTTAACACCCCCTTCAACAAGGCATTGTTCGCTACTAGGAACAAGTGCATCGCTACTAGTAACAAAAAGCTATTAGTAACAATTAAGCTACTAGGCTTTACCTCCTCTTTTTCTCGCCTTGCGGAGCACCTCTACCTGCTTGGCTGCAACTCGCTGCTCATCGCCCCAGCCTAAGGAAGGGTGAGGGTGAGGAAAGGAAAGAACCAAACCGAAAAAGGTTGGAACGAAACCAACAATGTCTAGCGATAACCCATCAATTTTTTGTTCATGTTGCTCCACAACGAATACTGCCCACACCAGGATAGTATTACATAGAACGGTGGAGCGTGGGCCCAATATTGGGCATTTAACATGCTGCAACTTGGGTCTGTTTGGGTTCAACTTGGATTCAAGTTGACCCTAACATTCACTCAACACGCGGAACATGGCCCGGAAAGGTGTTCCATCAACACCAAGCTTGCAGCATGTTGGGTTCAGTCGGACTCAAGCTGGAGCTTTTCGCGGTCACAGACCGGAGGAAAAGTGCATAAACCGCACAATCGTTGATGCTTTTCGAAGTGTGGATTAAATAGCGATGTTGTAGGTTTTCAGGCAACATATTTGGAACATGGGACTACTGGTAAAGCATAGTATCGGTTTATTCCTGTTTTTTTTTCAAAAAATTATACAGTACCCCAAAATATTAATACTGCATTATCTGCACTTGCAATTTACAGTACCCCTCCGATCGATTGGGGTCTGAATTTACCTAAATACGCGAATATATAGTATATTTATTTAGTTATTCCATATTCCAACGGTTATTTACTGTATTATGATCCACACATTCAGAAAACTTCTACAGTAATTGTTCTCACCCACTTGACAATTTTTGATCAAACACTATTTCCACATAGCAACAAGAAGCTACTAGGGGCTCCGGCCATACTAGCAACAAGAAGTGTCCTGACTTGACAAGCCCCAGCAACACCCAAACCAACCGTCTGCCCGAGGCCTGCAGCTGCATTTTGCCTCGGTCGAAGTACAACTATGTGCCACAAAATCACATTGTTATGATTGTTGTGTTCATACGAGCAACCTAAGCAGCGTCTGGCGTCTGGTGTCATGTAAACAATTGCCCCTCATCCCCAAAGCCTTCAACTCAAGGCAGAGTCATCTCGCAACAAGTTAGGAGCCCGAGCTCTGAAGCCTTCATCTCTTTCAAATGATCTTGGCCTTGACTGAAACACTGCAAAGGTAGCATTTCGAAGCTTCAAGGAGTTTGATGATGCTGTCTTATCATCTCAGACCTGTTTGCTCCACGAGGGCAGAATGGAACCTAGCCTACCTCCTCAAAAGTCCAAAGATGCCCAAGCCGTAGAGTGCAAAACTGAACTTGTTTGTACTAGAGTATGTATAAAATATGATATACAGTCATTACTTGGCCAGTGAATCTCGGCTCAGGTGTGCACAGGTTGCAAGTTCTCCTTCAAGGTGCGCAAAGGCAGATTCTGCAGAAGAGAGTGCTGCAGTTTTTTCCTGCATCACGAGTCTGGAATCTTGGGAACGATTTAAGAAGTGGAACCAACGATTTAAGAGTGGGTGTGTCAAATCTGTCAACGGTCAGCTCCACGGTCAATATTCGCTATTCACTCCTTCACAAAGTTCAGAATTTTTAAACGCATTTTGTTCCACCTTTCCACCGGACAGAGCAATGGCAGTTACCAGGACACTGGTGGTATAGTCTCTCCTTGACATCTTCTTGAAGTTGCCAGCATTTTGAGGAGATTGCTTCAGATGCAGTCTGGCAGTGCCGAAATCGGAGGCTCAACCGAAATCACTTGTTTTGTGGTGGATGGCCAAGAAAATCCTTTCAACTAGAATGGGGTAGACATGCTGATAAGCTCCATACTTAGACAAGCCACAACAATGTGGCCAGTGTGTGGCATCTCTATCCAGACCTGGCTTGAATCAACTTCCCAGCACGACCAGGGACTCTGCCAACCAACTCTATAAGCACCCAAAGAGGCACATCATCATTTAGTTTGAAAGCATTTTGCCCTAAAACTTTGAGTAATATATGATATGATAGTATAGTATAGGGGTTAATTGTTGACATCAACCGCAGATTGCTCAAAACAAAGGTGTTGATCCTCGCAGGCCGCCAGCTCCCCAAGGCAGACCTCATGCATTGGAGCACTTAGCAAATAACAAGACACATTCGCTTTATTTTTAGTACCCCACCCCACCGACCTGTAAGCAAACACCCCGCAGCAAGTGAAAACTGACTGCCACATGCTACACTTCTATCATCCAGTTGAACTTCCTGAAACGAGTATACCACGATCTGGTAGAACTAAAAGACATCATCGAACACCCAGTTTTATACAGGTTGGAAAAGCAACCTGTCACAATTTTATGCTTTTGGCAAGACACGGAAGCACTTGCGCATCCACGATCAAGGCGTTCACTTAGTTCATTGCGCCTCACCTGCGACCCAAAGCCCCAAGAGGGATCTATTCGTGGGGTTGGGGCAAGCCACACAAACAGCTGCTCAGAAAGGACAAATGACGGAGGGCAGGTCAGATTAACACCTAAAACAAACGTGTGAATGCTGTGCCGGCTGCCTTGCTACGCAAAGAGGCTGTCTCAGTATCGGTGCGTGCAAGCTGGTCCTTTAGCAATTCCAGTGAGTGCTTTCACAATGCAATCCCTTGCGCAAGGATGTCAGTGCTTTGCGCAAGAACCTTGCTGCAGCATGATGATTGTCCTGAAACTCAGCTACTTCTTCATGCAGCTGCTCCACAAGCCTCTCCTTGGTGCAACATGGAAATTGTGCGATGCTGCTGCTTTCTTGTTCGATGACAGGCGTTGCCAAACAAAAACCAAATCCCTGATTGACGAGTGAGTCAGTGACGTTTAGCTTTGCGATGCTTTGCAAATCGGTTCAATCAAGTCTAAAGCACTGAAGAATATCTTTTGAAGCTGTTAAACCAGCCTTTCTCCAACTGACTTTATTGTTTGGCATATATATATATATACCTAAACTAATCTGCAACACTGCATTTGGGACGATTGTTTCAAATGCACCTTCCCAGTTACCCAGTCACATCTATTATTCACATAACATAACAATATATCGGCAAATGTATATCGGATATCGATAGATTGCCACATATGTATATATGTACATAATCCCTAAACTTCTAAACATAACCAGCGGAAACTATAGCCAATGGTTTCTGCTACAATACTACCATCCCATGTTGAATATGTCTCACCTTGCTGCTGGCCATGCGTCTGAATCCGTCAGCTGCCTGGCATTCACTTCAAACGAAGCGTCCGTGCAAAAACAATCAACAACGATCAATGCCGCAATGCCGCCCAATTATAATTGTGAATGCACAACTCTGACCATGGACATGCCCTAAACGAGCTGTATTGACTTCTCAGGCCTGCCCATGGCATTCTGTGAAACTTGCTGGTGCACCTTTGAGCGTGCGGATTCCATGCGTGCATTGACACCTTGCCACGCAAGGATGATCTGATCCCAGGCATGGGTTCTTGTAAAGGAAGGAAGAAACAATGAAGGATGGCAAAGGTCTAAACGTCCAAAGGAAAACTATATTTATAGACTATAAGTAAGCATTCTTGCTACTAGTAACAAAGGGCATCGCTACTATGAGCAAGGACGCTACTAGGGGCTCCTGGCCTTACTACTAGGAGCATTCTTACCACTAGTAACAAGGTGCAAACATCAAGAAACTGAGCAAACAGTACGAGTACAGTCCAAAAGCACCCACTGAGCCCTTCTAAAGGCAAGACCCTCCTAGTCCTCATTATTCCCAGCATATTCCTATCATATTCTGTTCATTTCCAATCGTCACTACATGTCAGAGTCCTATGCATGTGCTACCAAGTGCAATCTCAAGCGCGTCATAGAGCAATCGTTCAGCAATCGTTCAGAATTATTAGTCCACTGTGTTGTGAGCTGCTACAGTAGTTGCTCTTCTGGAAAGACACACAATTTGGAGCCGGAATGAGCCGGCTCCAAACCTTGTCCTGCAATTCTGTTGTAGCAAACACCAACCACGAACACATTGACTTCTCACATCAGTCTGTTTTTGTGTGTAAGTCAGCCCGCTTCAAATACCGACTGCCGAGCACACCTCTCTAAGTTCATCCATGAGCTGAGCAGCAGCGCATCGAGCCTTTGGTGGATGGCTGCAAGAAGACTTGGCAACATTTGACAACCCCATATCAACGTTTGTCAACATATATCGACAACATTAATGTCCGCCCACAGTTACAATGGTACGATACTGTTGTCTTCAATCAAAGCAAGACTTGGAACTGCCCAAACAGCAAAGCCATTGCTCCTACTGGCCCTACTAAAGAACCACATTCCCACAGCAACTTCAGCAAGCCACATGGTTTGTTTCAAGGTGACAAGCCTCGTCACGTCTTTTGTTGTCTCCCCGCAGCTCTAAGGACCAGTCATCTACCTCCATCAAGGGCTGGCGCTGCGTCACAATGCAGAAACAACCTTCAATATCTATATGTATATACACACCAAAGTTAGTTGGAGATGAAAAGACTAATATGCTCAGTCAAGGCCCGCGCAGGTGTGCGAGTGCGCGGGTTTTACGTATCAGGTTACTGCTATCATCACGCTCGTACTAATTAAATGCAGACATATTTGTGATGGCACATGCATTTGGTTGGGTGGCAACTAATTAGTACAGTATCAGCGTGATGATTACTTGTTTGCACTAATTGTGTATCAAGTTGATTCATCTTTGCACATGTAAAAACGGCTTCTCGGGAACAAAGGCTTTTTTTGCCTCGGTGCCTCGGTGGCCAACTCCTGGCGCTGTTGTGTCGCCACGTGGAGGCTCCGCTCTGAGGATAAGAGCTCAAGCCTCCGAGGACCAGAACTCAAAGGCTCAAGCATGTGCTATAAGCTCGTGCTTCGTGTCTTAGTGAGTACAGGGCATTTTGTCTGATTGAGGCCTATTTGCCACAAGACGAGCATCGCAATCACTCTGTAACGTGCTCGCAAATCCACTGGCCAAACTGTCACCGAGGTCGCATGAATTCACGACGTTTGCAAACCAACAAACATGTTATTTTCTTCAAACGAAAGCACTGATTGTGCTTATTATCTGCCACTAAGGATATTATATACCTCAAAAAGCCTCAACTGGTCCGAGGTGTTGCAGTTATGTGAGCTTTCAGCCTCTTTGTCAAATGTTTCTATTGTTTTCTTAAAACAAAGGGCGGCTGTCCTCAACTGGTCAGATGCCACTTGTGCACTCTCCTCAGGTACAGCCAAAACCCAAAGCAAACTGCATTGGTTCATGCTAACATAGCTTGTGCATGCATCTTCTTTGAACTCAGAAGAGCGCATGGAAACCAGCATCTGCTGCAGTCCTCCTGTTGCAAGGTCGTTGTAAGCGCAGAATGTGCATTTCGCAAGGATGTCACTGCCTCAGTGACTGAGTGATAATTTATTATTATCCATCCTGTCGTAGCGGGTCATATCCTTGCTGCGATATGTTACGTGTATGCAGCCCACCACGAAACGTATACAGTACATTTCTCGTTTTGAAGCCAATATGAGTCATGCTCGCTGAAGGCTCATGGGACGAGGGCCAGTTTGGTCATCTCGGCTGGGTACTGACGCTGCAGACCCGACAAATTCAGGATCTGGTTTCAGCTGCAAGAGTTCAGTGTTATCATGTGGGGCAAAAGGTAGACGGTTGCTCACTTGAAGACCTTTATTGCATTGCTCTGAGCGATCCGAGCGCGGGAAAGGTCTGCCACCCATTCTTCGCGGGTATGGTCCTGTGCGCAACCACAAATGATGCCTTTGGATCCTTTGGTCTGATTGCAAACCTAAAGTTTTGCTGCTGAGAAAAATTAAGGTAATGCCCCCCTGCTATATCAGCTCTTTCTAGCTATGGTACTATGGCAACCGTGCCATCAATCTTGAAAAACAAAGACGGGTATCTGATTACATGTGAAAGCCAAAGGCATGGCGTCACAACCTTGATTCCTGACTGTCTGAGTCATCTACCAGAGACTTCACCACAGCTTGCAGTCGCTGAACCTGCCAAATTAACTGGCAACCTGGAATTGGAAGGCTTGTGGTAAGTAAGTACTTGAGAGAAGAGGGGGGTGAACGAAAGGTAGCAGGGAATCAGGCGTAATCCGGGAGGAGGTGAGAGGCCCCCCACTTGTTTGAAGAGAAGTGACTGAGCGTGATGAAAGAAAAACTAATGCACAAACTAATCACAATCACGTCACATATTTCTCAAATGCAACTTCGGATTTACATAGTGACGTGCTGCGACCCTGTAAATTGCCTGGCCGCAGGCCATGCTTGCAAACAGGACGAGCTCAAAAACACTGGTATTTACGAGGTTTTGTTGCCGTCGATCCACAGCCGCGGCAAGGTCTAAGGCCACGCTTGAAGACAGGAGGAGCTGAAAACACTGGTATTTACGGTGTTTTGTAGCCGTCGATCCAGAGGCGCACCACGGTTGTGTGCTGGAAAAGCGCAGAAAACCATGTAAATACCGGCGTTTTCTGCCGGGAAGGTGCACAAAACCCTGTAAATACCATAGTTTTGTGCAATTTTGAAGCCTCCAAAAGCCTCAAAATCCCTTTCCGACAAAATCTTTCCTGGTTTTTGGTCTTTTTTCGGTCATTTTTCTGACCGAGACGCATCAAAAACCATCGGTTTTTGCGGTGTTTTTTGCCGGACAGCCACAAAAAACGCTGTAAATTCCATGATTTTTTGTCACTGTTGAGGACTGGAAGAGCTGAAAACACTGGTATTTACAGTGTTTTCGGACCGTTGACCCCGAGGCGCGCCAGGGTGGAGTTGAAAGGGGGGGGGGGGCCCCCCCCCCCGGCCATCAAACGAAGATGTCGGGGACCATTTCTGTCAGGCTCGAGCTCTGAGTATAATACATTTTTGCTAAAGCAACAGGAAAACTCAGGTAGCGTAACCGCTACCTTTCGTGATCACAAGAAACATAATTGACGTATGTATATACATACATATATATATATATGTGAAAACTCTCACACGTGAGCATCTTCCCATGTACGCAGGGATTCCTCGGCTTAGGCAAGAAAGGGCGCCCATCCGTTGCCGACACGGCGTCGGCTACCAGTGCTTTGTCATTGGTAGCGGGGCCTCGGTACGCCGAGACTCCCGCCGGTTAGGATACCGGTGTGACGTTTCACACGTGAGCGTGCGCCATGGCGGCGAGTTCTGACGGAGGCTCAAGCGGCCTGCGCTACTTCTCTGGCGATCAGGAGGACGCCAAGGAGTACCGAAGATGGAAAGTCTGGGTGCAGAATAAATTACTTACCTTGGAGGACAAGGTGCAGCCCAAGGCCCGTGGGGCCTACCTGTACACGCTTCTTTCAGGCAAGGCCCTGGAATGCGTGGAACACCTGGACCCAGCCCTCTACCAGAAGGAGGGCGGAGAGAAAGTTTTGCTGGAACGCTTGGACCGGCGCTTTCCGCAAAAAGATGCCAGCGATGAAATGAGCGAGGCTTTGACAGAGATCTTCAATGTCCGCGCTCAAGACGGCGAGAGTTTGAAGACCTGGATCTCTCGCGCCACTGAGTTGTTCGACAAGTGCGAGAGAAAGACCAATGTAGCCTTTCCTGAGGAGGCTCGGGGCTGGATCATTTTACACCGATCCGGTCTCAATGAAGAGCAGAAGGCAGTGGTGTTGGCCCGGTCGCTGGGTATCCTCAAACGCGAGGAAGTGGGACGAGCCATGCGCTCGTGCTACCCCGAGTTCGTCGTCAAGAAAAAGCATATAGGCGCTGGCCTCGTTGAGGGAGATGTCGGAACCACTGCACCCGACTATCCCGACCTTGAAGATGAGTCGGATTTGGCCGCTGAGGTGGAAGCTTTTCTGGCGGAACACAACGTCAGTGCTGGCTCCAATGAGGGTGACCTCGATGAGGTGTACTGCGAGCAGGAAGTGGCTGAAGCATTGGCCATCTCATGGAAAGATCGCCGTAAAGAGCTTGGCAAGCTACAGAGGTCTCGCAAATTTGCGGCTGCCTCCGACCTGAAGCGTAGCTATCGGGTCGAGATTGCTGAACTGAAACGCAAGACCAAGTGCCATCGTTGCGGGCAGGTGGGGCACTGGTCCCGCGAGTGCTCTCAACCCCGTGGCTCTAGTTCTGGAGGATCGAAGAAAGAAGCTGGAGCCGCTTTTGTTTGCTACGACCAGGAGGACTTTGTGGCTATGGCGGCTTTGTGCAAAGAGTTCTTGTCTCCACTCTCCCTGCTCCGACAACGACAAGCAGCACGTATGCCTCAGGTCACCGACCAGCCTTCTCTCGAGCAGCCCGAGATTCTGTTGGTGAGCTCTCCAGGCTATGGCATCCTGGACTCGGGTTGCGGTCGATCCATCATCGGACGTGAGACCCTGAGTGAGTTCACCCAACTTTGGACTGAGGCAGGCATGTCCGTTCCGGAGGAGATTGCGGAGACCAACCATTTTCGTTTTGGCAATGGTGAAAAGGAGACCACGACCTCAGTGCTGCGTCTCCCAGTGTGCCTGGGAGGCAAACGAGGCACGATCCGCACGGCCATTGTGAAAGGTCGAGCCCCCTTTCTGATCTCTCGCAGTGCTCTCCAGACTCTGCAGGCCGTGATCGACTTTGGCAACAGCCGATTGACCCTATTCAATGAACAGGTGAGTGTGCCCCTGAAGGTGAATGAAGCCGGACAATATGCCGTGAATGTTATTGGAGAACGCCAGGCACCTGATTTTGAACAGGAGTGCATGTGCAGTGCATCCACTCTACCTACTGCCTCTGGTCAGTTGGAGAGGCCATCGGAATCTGGTGTTGAGCTAGGCATCCAAGAGCCGCCTGGCAACTCGGTCCCGCTTCAGTCATGGTTTCGAGAAGATTCCTTTTTGCAGCAAACCCCCACCATTGGGAAGCAAGGTCCCCTTTGGCACACAGTGGTTCACGGGAAGGTGATTGATTGTGATACTGGAGTGGTATTGTTTGATGAACCCATCTCACCACAAAAAGGGAAATCGGCCTATCACCATGCCATTCCTAGACATGTCATGCACACTCGAACTGAGTTTGTTTTTCGACCGCAGGAATGCACTTCCACTTTTGAGAGCCTTCCGGTGCACCATGTGCGCCAACTGAAATCTCAGATAAATCGAATAGGGAAGTCTGACTCACCCTCCAAGCATGATGCCAACGTCAGGTCCAAGAGGTTGACAGTAGCTGAAGTTTTCAGCCCTCCTCGATTTGCCCCCCTGGTGGAAGGTGTAGGAGGCGTGTGCAAGTCGTATGACCTCGTCACAGGATATGATTTTCAGCAAGCCAAGACTAGGGCGTCCGTGTCCAGGGAACTCCGCGAAGAACCACCTGATCTTCTTATCCTGTGTCCCCCTTGCACCGATGCCGGAGGATGGTTCAACCTAAATTGTCACTCCATGCCCACGGAGGAAGTGGCCAGACGAATACGCCAGAGTCGCCTGTTTGTTCGATGGTGTTGCCAGTTGTTCAGGCAACAAGTCGAGGCGGGCAAACAAGCCTTGTTCGAACATCCTCGAGGCTCCAGAGCATGGCACATGACTGAGATGAAAACCCTGCTCAAAGAGTTCTTTCCTCTCGAGTGTGATTTTTGTAGGTTTGGTTTGAGAATTCCTGGGTCAGAACAATTGATCAGAAAGCCCACTCGCCTGCTGGTGAGTGACCAGGGTATGCAAGTTCTTGAACAAAAATGCCCAGGACAGGCTCATGAGAAACATGGCACTCACCAGCCAGTGGCCGGAAGTCATCCCTCAGTTGGTTCCATCAGCGCCTTCACAGGCAAGTACACTCCGTCCTTTGCGATGGCTGTCATGAATACGGTTCCCCAGTTCCGAGAGATGTCTCGCAGCCATTTGCCACCGTGTTTACCATGGTCATTTCAACATGAACACGATGTTCTCATGGTAAAAGGGGATTTGGAACATGAAGATGATGAGATGGTCAAGAAGGCCTTGTTTCGGTTACACAAGAATTTGGGGCACCCCTCAAGTGCTGACCTGGTCCGCCTTTTGAAACATGCTCAGGCCTCCGACAAGGCTCTTGCATTGGCACGTCAGCTCAGTTGTGACTTCTGTCAAGCACAGGGTAAACCCCGAACTCCACTCCCAGCACAGGTAGATCATCCCAGAGAATTCAACCATGTGGTAGGAATCGATGTGAAAGGATTGAGAGGCTGGAAGAATAACCAAACCATAAAGGCCTTGAATATAGTGGATCATGCTAGCAATTACCAACTTGTGCTTCCCTTCTTCGAGCAAGAGACCTCCCAGGTCATCAAGCATCTGTTTTCAAGTCAATGGGTGCGTACTTTTGGAGCCCCGAAAGTGTTGATGATGGACCCTGCTCGAACCAATCTAGGAGATGTTTTACAGAGTTATTTGGAGAGTCTGGGCACACACTGCAAGCCCATAGCCGCAGAGGCCCATTGGCAGTTGGGTCGTACTGAACGTCATGGTGGATGGTTTGGCAACGTGCTTTCCAAACTAGTGGAAGAACATTCTCCTTCGACAAAAGAAGAGTGGGAACAGTTGGTTATTCATGCTCATGTGAAGAACACGATGATTCAGAACCACGGCTTCACTCCCTACCAATTTGTTTTTGGGAAGAACCCTGATGTTCCGTGCGATCTTTTGGATGAACCACTACGAGTTGTTCCAGCTACTCTGGGACTGACAGATGCTGCTATCCAGAAGTCGCAAGAGATTCGCTCGACTGCTCGGAAAGCAGTCATCGCTCTCCAGAGCGATCAGGCCTTGAGACGTGCTCTAGCAGCACGACCTCGTACAGTTCCTGACTTTCAAGCTGGAGATTTGGTGGCTTATTGGAGAGAACAAAAGTTTCAGGGAGCTACTCAATCTCAAAAGGGGCATGTGATACAAGGTGGTCGATGGTTCGGTACAGCAGTGGTCATGGGAAAGATAGGACGCAACTATGTGATTGCCCATCGGAAGCAAATTTTTCGTGTTGCCCCCGAGCAGCTGAGACCCGCAACCACAGAGGAACGTACAGTCCTTCAATCCCCACAAGCTGAGTTGTTGGGAATCAAAGACTTGTTGGAAGGGGGTACCTTTCGCAGTCATCAGTTTGTGGACCTAGTACCAGGCCACTATCCCTCCACACATCCAGTGTTGACCAAGTCTCCCATTGTTGCGGACACCGAACTTCCAGCGCCAGCTGACCATCAGCCACCGACACCAGTCCAGACCTCCAACCTGGAGGCAGCTCCTCCGACCAACGAGCCGACCGGTGATTCAGCCATCGCTCCTGAACCCATGGAGGTGGTGCCACCAGATGGCCATTCCAACAGTATTCCAGAGATTGAGTCCGGAAATCCTCCAGGCAATGAAGACAACGAACCAAGTTTTCCTCGATTTTCTCTGGGTGGCTCCAGTTCCAGCAAGGGTGAAAGTCCAGCGCCTCAAGGATATGGGCCCATCCGGCGTCGAGTACCATCCAAAGCCGGTGGAGCAGCCTTGTACAGGCCTCCCGCTATGCGAGAGGAAGATTTTGCTGAGATGATGCGAGAAGTTGTTCCTCGGTTGATCGCTGACTCCTTGCAGAATACGCCAAGCAACATGGATGAATCATCGACATCCAAACGATCAGCAGATGAACTTGGTGCGTCGACAGAGGAACCTCCTTCTTCCAGGGTGAGAACTCAGGAAGGAACCGAAGAGGACATCCTTCTCGTTCAAGAGTGCGATGAAATCATGGACAGTTGGCGACCTGATCGGCCCATCGAAGTCCTCATGGCCGCTTATCTACAGAAGAAGCTCAGCAAAGAAATTCCACACACCAACCAGGATGCTGAGTTGCAAAAACTGGTAGATGAGTCCAAGTCCACGGAATGGGGGACAATTCTAGAAAAACAGGCTGTGAAAGTACACTATGGCAAAAAGGCAGCCCAACTCAGGGCAAGGTACCCCAACAGGTTCATTGGTAGCCGATTTGTGATCATTCGGAAACCCATTGAAGAGAACGTAGCAGTAGATCCCAATGATCTATGCACTTTTCGCATCAAAAGTCGGTGGTGCCTTCAGGGTCATCTGGATCCAGATTTAGACGCAAAGGCTCAAGAAGGTCTGTTGAAGTCACCCACACTCAGCCAGATTTCTCGTATGCTGTTGATGCAGTTGATCTGCTCTCACGGCTGGGATCTGCAGCTGGGTGACATCAAGGGAGCTTTCATGGAAGCAGGACCGTTGGATAGTAAGTTCCGACCTCTCTTCGCTTCTCAACCGGCAGGTGGAATCCCAGGGGTTCCAAAAGATGCAGTGCTCGAAATTGTTGGTAATGTTTACGGCCAGAACGATGCACCGGCTAGCTGGTTTAAAACTTTCCACGCTGAGGCTGTCAGAGCGGGATGGATCCAATCCATCTTTGATCCGTGTTTGTATTTTCTCCGGGAGGGAGACAAACTGACAGGGATTATGGGAGTTCATGTTGATGACACTGCAGTGGGGGGTTCGGGTGAGCTTTTCGATAGTGCTATCTCCAAACTCAAAGAAAGGTTCCCCTATAGGAAGTGGAGAGTCGGAGAAGGAGAGTTCTGTGGCAGTTACTATCGCCAAGAGTCGTCTAGTAAGCACATCCACATGTCCCAGCAGCTGTTTGCAGAGAGCCTGCGTCCTGCCACAATTCCCAAGGGAGCCGTGAATGAAACCAGACTCAATGAGTCGCAGGTTCGAGTGCTCAGGGCAATCAATGGTAGCCTTAACTGGATTTCTTCTCAGTCTAGACCTGATCTAGCAGTACAGACAAGCATGTCTCAACAGTCATTCCCTCATCCCACCATCCGTGACCTGAGGAATGTGAATAATGCTGTCAGGAGAGCCCGAATGCACAAGGACCTTGAAATCCATTTTCAGGCGATCGAGCCACAGCGGTTACGAGTGTGTGCTCACTCCGATGCGGCTTGGGCAAATCTGGGAAACCACACTCAGGCAGGCTACATCATTGCTTTCACTGACCAGGACCTGAATCAGGCTAAGGTTGTGCCTTGGACACCTGTGATTTGGAAGAGTTATCGTTTGCCGCGAGCCGTGAGCTCCACTCTTTCCGCAGAAAGCCAAGCAATGTCCTGTGCTACTGGCTCGGTAGAATGGATCAGCCTTCTTCTGTGTGAGGCACTGGATGGCTCCTTTGAACCCAGAGCCGGACGAGAACTCTTGCAGAAACGACCCCCAATCATAGCTACAGACTGTAAGTCTCTGTTCGATCATCTGACGTCCCCGTCCGCTCCGACCGCAGTTGAAGACCGTAGAACTAGTATTGATATTGTGATCATCAGAGAATCTCTCAAGCTTACTCAAGGGGTTGTTCGTTGGCTTCCGACCGATAGGATGTTGGCTGATGGGCTCACTAAAGATAAGCAAGACCCAATAGATTTACTTCGGTCGTGCATCCGAAACTCGTCCTATCAGATTTCTCCAGAAGATTTTGCGCTGGCCCAACAAGCTGCTGAGCGGGATCGCCGTCATCAAAACAGACGTTTTTCTGATAACCAGCCAGCAAAGAAGCCGGAGTCAGATAAATAGACCATAGCACAAATTCAATAGATAAGGAGTCGACGGGAGTGCAAAGCTGTGTACTCAGGGGGAGTCTTGTGTTTTTGCCGTTCGAACTCAAAACAGAACTATGCATGCAGCTATGCGTCAGTTGTCACGAAATGTTTTCTTTTGTGTTCCTGCAGATCGATGCTCAAAGGTTTTTCGCTTTTGATCCTGTCTTTCAGTTGAGTGCTTTTCGACAATCATGTCTTGGACCCCGGAGGAGAAGCGTCAGCTTTCCAACCTTCTTCAGAAGGCCCAGAAGGAAGGTATGCCAGATGAGTTGCTACCTCTCGCATCGGCCACAGCTCAGGGTACCAGCCCTCGACATTCCGATGATGGATTCTCTTTGATCGCCGGCTTGGGCTCTATGTCAGACGCCTCCAAGCGCAGAGATTTGGATTTTCCTGAGAGCAAGGATTCCAAGCGTCTGTATAAGCAGACAGTTCCCTCAGCAGCCCCTTCTGGCTCTCCCATTCAGTATGAAGGCGACATTCCGGGATACGAGGGTGGATACTATGTAGCTCCAGGAGTGAGGCCTTCTCCTTTCCCTGCGGGTTGTCAGATTCCAAGTGTTGAGGTGCCTCAAACTCCTCTACCAGAAGGAGTGCAGAGCCTCAGCCAATGGGGACGCACCTTGATGTCTTTCGGTCAGTACAAGGATTCTGGCCTGTCGTATTTTGATGTGATTTCCAGTACAGAAGAAAAGAAAGTGAAATACGTTCGCTGGTGCAAGAGCCGAAGCTCTTCAGCCGGAGGCTTTCTGAAGGATTTTTGTGAATACATCCAGCTGTATGAAGTCAGCACCGGTGGCGTCCAAGGCCCATGCATTCCTGGGACGGATCATGTCCGCCATTTTAAATCTTAAAGATTTAAGAGCAGTGTGAAAACTCTCACACGTGAGCATCTTCCCATGTACGCAGGGATTCCTCGGCTTAGGCAAGAAAGGGCGCCCATCCGTTGCCGACACGGCGTCGGCTACCAGTGCTTTGTCATATATATATCCGGTTTCGGTTTAACGGAGTGGCAGCATGAAAGAAGACAAATTGACAAGGAAGGTAAGGATCCCTTTCATTAGGGGCCCTTACACATTTGTTGTTTCTTATCTTTGTGAAAGTGTTGCTGGACCTCGCTGACCTCGCATGACATACGTGACAACTGCACCTTTCAGATCCTTTCTGCCCACCGTTGCTACTCACAGCACGAAGGCGTCATTGGGCGCTGGCTAGAGCCATAACCAAAGCGACTTCTATATATAACTATAACTACAAAGACTTCTTCTTTATTCTTGGAGCCCCATCGCAACACGAATCTTGACTAGCCCAAGTCACAAAAACCACTAGGGACACTTGCTTTCGGCGCCTGTCGACAAGTTTCCTTGCCTTCACCTGTGTCTGGATCCATTGCAGCCCCTCTTCATGCAAAGAAACTTGCTGCTCCTGGCTATCAAAAGTTCACCTTCACGAACCGAGACGCTTGGATTCCCGCACAGCGACCAAAAGAGCGAGACACAAACAGTTCATCAAGGTGAAAACACCCATTGAAAAATATGACAGAGTTGACAGGCTAGGAAAGCCTGGTCTCCTGAAGATTGTGCTTCAGCATCCTCTGCTCATCGGTGAGCCCAAACAGCGAAGAGTTGAGCCACTGCAAGTGAGCACCAGCACTTTGCCACCTACCACGGGCAAACAGCACTATCAAACAGTCGCTGGTTCATCAGTTTTCTTCATTTTGGCTTTCTACTGTTCAATGCAAATCTGGATCATCCCGGTTTTGGAGGGTCAAGAGCTATGATGTCTGCTAGAAGACAGGTTCCTGTCTGAGACAAATTGGTTGAGTGAAGTCAGTGACTACATTATATAAGTCCAAGCGATCAGTCGGATACATATTTGAGGCAACTTAGATCAAATCAAACAACTATCCGGGGCGTACCTGGTTTGAATCTCTGCCCCACTTTGGATGTCCTTGGCGTTCCAAACACCGAACACACAGTCCAAACAGTCTCTTCCAATTTTCAAGAGAGAGACAAAGAGCAAAACATAGCAAAACCATTTGCAAGCAAAGTCCAGACTGGAATTTAATAAGAACTTGGAGTTGGGTTGGCATGAACATGAACATGGCTCAATTTGAGAACCGGGCTCCCTCCATAGATTTGCGTTGGATCTCCAAATGCCTGTGTCAGTCTCTCGACCCAGCCCGTTATATACCCAGGGCCTTTGATTTAGATTCAAGGTCGTTCATCATGAGCCCAATAATTGGATCTGCCATTCTTGAAAATGATTCCTAAACAATGGCCATATCTTCACTCTTCACATTTGACTACTTACAGTATCTTAATTTATACCGTTTTGCATATGACACACGCGAAACATTGTATCCCTCGTTACCGCGAATATTAAAGATTGTAACATGGGCTGATTTCCACTGACCGAATGCACATCTTTGCGTGACGACCAACCTAAGGGATACAGTGAGACATAGTGTAACAAGATCCCACGCAGGCCTGGTTTGTGTTTGGGCTTCCAATGTAGCAGCTTCTACCTGCCAAACAAAAACAAACCCCGAGCCGGAATGCAAAACAAATCAAAACAATATGATTATGGATACTTCAATCCGTGTGGCACTCTTATGGGGCACACTTACGTGACACTCTTGTGCGACGCTCTTGATTGACACGTTTCTAGGACATCTTGTACGACACTTTTCTAAGACACCCTTGTGGGACAGTGGGACACTCTTCAAGACACTCTTGTGCGACACTCTCGTGAACACTCTTTTGGGACACTCCGGAAGTCGGGAAGTCTCCAAATCCAAAACAAGCGCTTCCTACGAGACCTCCTCCACAGTGAAGTGCGAAGTTTCACGCACACATCACGCTGCCCACCAGTCGCATTCTAAGCATTGCCACGCAAGTATTCACTCTATCTGCGATGGAATTTGACTCCCGACACTGCCTGTTAGCACACCACACGTTTAGAATGATTTCGACACGTGCTGCTCCACCCACAGCGCTCAAATCACAATTTTGTGTGAACATGACCTGTCGCAAAGTCTTCAAGAGCAAACCCTAATGGTGCAAACTCGGAACTACCAATAAGTACCATCCTGAAACACCTCGGAAACGCAAATATCAATGGGGCAAACTGCCTTCCTGCAAAACGCTGCACCTGCGCCATCATACGTCAAACTTGGAAAAGTCAAGCTTGCACGCTATTTCACACGAATCTGCCACGTCGTCCGTCTTCCCCCAATCTCGGCCACTGACGACAGCAGAACAACGTCATACGAACATGTGCACACCCCTATTTAAGTTAAGCAAGAACCCTTTGAAACATATTTGGGAATAAGAACAACTAAACGAGTTGTAAAGGGGTGAAATATGGTGAAGTGCAGTGGTCAAATCCTTTACACAAGAATGCACAAGATGTATAAATCAGTTTGAAACATCAAGTGGAGATGTGTCCAGCAGTTTTTCGCTGTACCAATAGGGCCTCCTCTTGTAGAGCAGCTCGTGAAGAGCTGAGACTGAGACATTCTTCCTGTCGTCTTCAAACCGCGTCAGGCTGCTCAAACCACCGGCTAGGAAGAGGAAACCAGTAGTACATGAAGCATAAGTGAACTACATTAAACTAGTAACAGAAAACTCCAACCGATCTGACTCAGAAGGGCCCTTTGCATGGTCGAAACGTTTCGCGGATGTTTGGGGACACCACAACTTGTGATGTTTACACGATGTGTACTATCTGACCTACAAGCCCAGATTCCTGCTTCAGCTGTCATCAGTAACGTGTCAGAAGAATGCCATCAATTTCATTTCGTTTCGATTTTGCGTTCTTTTTGTCCTAGGTAAATTAATCACACGATGACAATGTAAAGTGCGCTGAGAGTTTCTGCTGTAAAACACTTGCGTCACTGGTCCGAGATGGCTGAAAAACTCGGACCTGTGCTCCCTGTAGTTGATCTTCCAGCCGCTGTTGCTGTAGAGCTGAAGGTGTTCCTGGACCTAAGCAGGCACAAAGCCAAGCCATACAGCTCTATTTATATACACACCTGAGAGGGGAGGGGACGAAAGCCAGCCCTCGTAGACATTGAGAACTCTACTATATGTAATTGATTGTAATGGTTGTTATAGTGAGAAGTCGAAGCCGCACTTTTGAAGCCGCCGCCCTCACTGGTAGCGCGCGACAGTGATAGCCATGTGAGGTCATTGTGGGTGACACTGCCGCGCATGGCCTTTTCGTTGAGTCCGTTACTTACGGTGCGTTTCGGCACACCGTCGTGCCGTCTCTTGGACCGCATAGATGGTGTTCTACCCACTCACAGCTGCCGGTATAAAACATGCCTGCTTGTCTCTGCAGCGGAGCACACGGAGAGCCGTAACTGAGCCCATGTTTGCCAGGAATAATCATGCACACAATCACTGTCCACTGCCGGCCACTTTGCGATGCCAATGCACTATTGAACCTTTTTGGCATCACTCGCATCACCAAGGCCCTTATAAACATGCATTTTGACTACACATTGGCCACCCTTTTGTTCGCTCTCCCCCACCAGGGTCTGGGTTCACCCACCTCGCAACCACCCCCACACCCCGTAATACTCACTTTGTTTGCCCATCAAGCACTTCAGCCTAGCCCATGGGCTGGCTTTCGCAACAAAGCCGGTAAAGCATGTTCAGCTTCTAAAACAATATAAGATAATATAAGTCAGTATATATAAAGGTCTCAACATCACTGAAACTTTAGCATGAAGGGATCCAAAGCTGTTGGCTGCAAAACAATCAAACAGCTACGCTCTCCTTATCTTTATCAGTCAGCAAAAATACGGAAATATAATGAAATGCAGGTCTCCCGCAGCGCTGAAGAGGAACCGTTTGAGATAAGCACAAGACACACTTCTGGGTCCTGGGCCACTCTGTACAACTACCAGTTGATCGAAGAGCTCCTAGTCGGGTGCGAGTAGGAGCATCTGGTCAACATGCAAGCATGTTACTTGGAGCAAGACTTTGAGCTCCCACGTCCGACATTTTCCGCCAAAGGCACTTAGAAAGACTCTTTCATGCGTCACAAAGAGTTCCTGCCCAAGTAAGTACAGTGCATACTTTTGGCTAACGAACAACCGTTTCCTCCTTTCTCGCATCCTCCCCCTGCTTGACATACTCAGCGTGAGGGTACTTAGTAAGAAAGGCTTCAGCAGCAGAAAGGTCATTCTATGTCATAATTGAGACAATGAACTCGCTCACCTGGCTAAATCAGGATCGAACTGTTTTTGTGTTCAAGTTTTCCCTGCCCCACTGAATTAGGATACTTAGATGTTTCAATCATATTATCTGTTAGACCAAGTCTTCGCAGTCACCTGGTTTGAGTGCACTGATTTTCCCAAGGCCACACGAGTATGGCCTGAGTATGGTAGGGAGGTAAGCTCCAAGTACTTTGGCTACTGACTATCAATATGTTGTTTGATGTTGTTTGTTGATCTAACAGGGGACCCTGGGCTTCCACCACACGAAAGCAAAGGGACACTTGATGAAATGATGAAACGTAACTTGCCCATTGCACCCTCACACGCTTTGTCTTCCCGGGCTCATCTCCTCTACTCGTCGTAACTGCTCAGTGCTTCGCAGCACCTGGCTACTCGGGTACCGGCATGTGCTAGATCCCACAAGTTCAGGGAAAGTGGGCAAAGCCGAAATCTCCAAGTCCCTTCTGCGGCTCCGCTTGAATTCACACCGACAATGTTTGGAAGGTGATAACGCATCATCATGCTACGGGTACAAAGCATTCAAGCACTGGGAAAGCGAGGACTTCCCGTAGAAGCTGCAAGCCGTATTTTACTTGCATCAAAAGTAAGTCTCTCTCAAGCAGGCAGGCTTTAGCCACCATTCAAAAGTGGGGAGATTGTTGTGGGCTGGCTGAGCGGTACAAAGAGAACAATACAGTCACATGCAGTCACCTTTGATAAGCCCCTAAGTTCCCAAGACAGTGTTTGAGTTTTTCAGCTGCCAGCCACATCTGACATAGCGGTAGTTGCTTCTTTTGCAACAACCCTCAGTTTACGCTGACTACAAGCCCTCCTCGTTTCCACTCGTTGTTGCAAACAAGTGGTCTCCCTGTCCTCTGTGGATTTGACAAATCGTAGACCTGCCTGCCATTTTCCTCATGGCGTCTCAGCCTGTAGAACTCGCAGCCAGTAAATGTGAAAACTGAGCCTCTGTAGTCAGCATCAAAGCTTTCTTTGATGATGCCTAGGCATCCGTTGCAGGTCTCACCGTTGTTTTTGCGATCATAGCAGTCATGCGTATTTTGTTCTGGCGCATAGCAAGTCAAATCACGGAAAGTTGCTTCCTTTGCACCATAGACCGCCACACAACTTCCATAGTGATTTTGACGCGCTCGTCCTGCATCGACTCCAACACTGTTCTGGAAAACGATATTGCGGGTGTCAAAATGACTGCCCCAAACCGCGTAGATGTCATCCCCGGTGTTTTGAATGTAGCAGTCATCGACCAGTGCATTCTGCACAAATCCATGGAAGTTGATCCCGTCTGCGTGGAGAAACATAGCAACGAGATTCTTCACAGTCACCTGGCTGGTGGGCTGATCATGGGTGGTCTGTGCAACCCACACAGCAAGCTGACTTGCAAGAATCGGGTTGTCGGAGTAATCATTCATTCGCACGTTCTCAATGTGCACGTTGGTCACAGGCTTGCCGTTGCCGGTCATCAGGTGTGGAAACAAGCCTGGGTGCCACAAACAGTTCCCTATGTATATCTGTATAGCTGTAGTACTTAAGTCGCTTTGCAAGAGAGAGAGAGAGAGATCAGATACAAACGATAAACAATTGGTCCTTACTGTAGTGCTGATCTCTGACTCTCTGAGATTAAGCAATATATATATATATAAATTGGCGAAACAAATCTCTTGCTACCAAGTCACATTGATTGTGAACGCACCCTGGAGTTTCGAAAACGCCTCCACCACAAAGCGCACCATTATCTGACGGGCGAAGGGTGTCCTTCCCTTGGTAAGCGATGTTTTTCACCACGGTGTTGGAATACATCAAAAAGCCTGGCCTTAGAGATCTCACTTCCTTATTGGTCAAGTGCTGACAATGATATGGATTTCGAGGTGAAAGCGGTTCCCAACTTCTTTCCAAGTTTTGGCAGTAGCACGCATTGCCATCTGACACTCCACTGGTTGCAACAAAGACTGTTTGCCCTTGATAGTCTGGCTTCTGGGTCTTGTCCTGGCCATTGGGATTGGCAACACCCTCAATGATTGTGTTCTCAGGGACGGAGACCTGTCGATGCACTTCAAAAACGCCCGCAGGAAACTTGAAGTGCCTCACGTCGCCCTTCTTTTCCTGGGAACAGTCATGAGATGGGGGGGCACCCATCGACACAAAAATATATGGAACACCAAATGCCATGCCATCTATGGCACTTCAAAGTGCTCGAACTGCATCACACTACGCCAGCCAGTGTCACCCAATACTGCGTTACACACAACCTGCAAATGCAGGCAATGCAGGTATTACAACAATATGGTGTATTGCAGGGAAAAATTGGAATCGAATAGTGATGCAGCACAACCTAAGGCAAATAAAAAACATAGCGTAGTTGACTCAGTAGATAAAATTGTTTCAACTTGTGCTTGAAGACGACACCAGTTTTGTGGGCAGGTGTATACCGTATACCATACACACTACAACATACAACCCCATGCAACACTGACAATTTGCAAATCGAACATGCCAAGTCAAATTGTGCGACGTCACCTGATTCAATGGGTTCGATTGGATGCCAATGAGCTAGTCATAGCTAGTTTGTAATATTTACAGTAAAACAACCTTTGGTTTTGAGGATACGGGGACCATCTGTGCTGCACACTGCATGATATAGGCATGCGTTTCGGAAAACCGGCGATAGCATCAACTCTGAAAAAATATTGAAAGCGATGTGACTACTTCCTGCAAAGCACTTTGTCACAACAGTCATCACGTTGCAGGGTTCTTGACGTAAACATAGCGGACCTGCAGGACCGTTGAAAAACTGTATTGATGGAGTCTCGTCACCAAGAGCGCCCTTCGAGCTGCTACACAAAGCTGCCGGTGAAGCGGTCGGTCGGTTCTTTATATAGGTGCCCTTGCATTTGAGTTTCAAGCCGATGTTTGAGAGCGCTGAATCCGCCGGGAGGGCAGATGTGTGTGGACGACAAATTGCACTCATCTGGGTGAATTAAACTGATTTCATTATAGTCTAGGACGTCCAGTAGGCAGAAAATTTGCTGCTTACTGGAGCCTGGTTTTGGGGAAAGTTGGGGGTTTTAGAACGACTTGATTCAGGGGCCTTTGCGCGTGGTCAAGGAGAAGGGTCTGCAGTAAGCAGAAGAGGTTCAAGTTGGGGGCATATTATGGATCATTGTTTGCTTTCATCCTGCTTACTGCAGTGCCTCCAGAGTGCTCTGGCAAGCTAGGGGCTCAAATCGAAAAAGTAGAGGTGAGATTTCAGGTGAGAATCAATTGGAGTCACACGCAGCATGCAAAGGTTTCACACGTGCAGTCACAAACAAGTAGGTGTAAGCTGTCTTTTTTTCTAGATTCACATCTACTGTTCCCTGTGGCACTTGCGGCATGTCCGACCCACCGGCTGCCTTGGTTGGGCAAGCTTGTTGGGCAAAAGAGGCTATCAGTCATGTGAAAGGGGCGCATGGCATGAATGACTCTCTTCTTTGGAGCCAAAAGTGTTTGGGGACCTCATCTATGTTTTCTGGAGCTGTTTTCCCAGAAAGGGCTTTGGCCTTTTTGGATGCAGCCCGGAAGATGCATGCTGCTGGCATTGGTGAACTTTCAGCCACTCGGTCAACAGATTCCGCTTTAGGATGCAAATCAGTTTCCAGCCTAGGCTTTACACTTTAGGTTGAAATCTGCTTACAACAGGGTAGTTGCTGCCCCAGTTGGACCGGGACACTCGCTCAATTAGATAAAGGGAGACAAAGGGAGTGTGGGGTGGCGGGCTGCAGTAAGCAGATTCAGATCTAGGTGCAAGCTGCTAACAACAGTGCACAGTTGTGGCCCAGGAACCACTTTGGACCTGCGAGATAGATGGCCGTGCTTCACAGCAAGATGTCTTGCCTGAGGCTTCTTGTTGTAAGTATGTGAACATCGAGGATTTCATAGGCACAGAGGACATAGACCAAATGCGCAGTGTCAAGCAGAAGACTTTGGGGAAAAAAAATCCCAAATGGTTGTCCATTGCGAAGAAAGCGAAGAAGAACACGGAGGCATTTTGCGCATGTCACCTCAAGAAGTGCCTTTCCGTTGCCCTCAGAGAAGTCTTTCTTTTGGGGAGGTTTTCTTTGGTGAGTCACTGCCATACGTCCAAAGTAGAGTGACTTTCCTTGAGTTAAGGTGCCCCATCCGGACTGCATTCCTTGACATCAGTGGGAGTATGTGCACATCCTACTCTACTCTTGGGAACCTAGAGAAAGCAGAGTCAGAGAATTCCATATTGCTTGTAATCTGGATGACCTTCAACTTTGAGCGCCGGACGCCGCTGATAGTTCACGAGAATGTACAGGGGTTTGTGTCCGAGTTGATCTGTGAGGAGGCCAAGAAGCAGGGGTATGAATGTATCACTCTCAGAGCAAAACCTTCAGACCTGGGCCTTCCAGTGAACCGATACCGCAAGCCTCTTGGTGGCAACTGCAGTAAGCAGATGTCTATCTGCTTACTGGAGGGCTGTAGGGCGCGCTGGGAACTAGCAGAGTTTGGGGCCCCGCCATTCCTTGGATTGAACATGAAAGTGTGCAAAGCAACGTTTCAGCCATCTAAGAAAAAGGAATGATGATGTATCAAGTGGACCGCTGCAGTAAGCAGATTCTTTCTACTGATTGGAGGGCGCCCTCCCCAAACAGACTTAATTAAGCACTATTGGGAAATACCTCAGAAGTTTGCAGAGGGGATCTCGCTAGGCAGTAAGCAGACTTTTGTTCTTGTTGGCAGGGATAGCTTAACCAGTAGAAAGGGGGAAACCTTGGGACAGCTATGACCGGAAAAGGGGCTCATGATTTGCACCAAACCAGGTTTGAAGTTCTGTGGCGCAAAGACATCTTGGATTGTATTGGGGATATGACGGAAGCCTATGCAGAGCTAACCAGGCACTTGAAGAGTGTCCTTCCCAAACTTTCAGTGGATGACTTCTTCTTTGAGAATGATGAAGAAGCCCTTCGACTCGAGATGTCCCGCAACGCGAACAACAATGCGACAGGAGACAGGGGTGTTGAGGACAGGTATCAGCTTCACAGCCTGTCAACCTGGGACCATCTGCAGTAAGCAGAGTACAATCTGCTTCCTGCAGAGTCCATGATTGCCAAGCCTCAACCATTGGAATTTACTGGAACCCCTTGCTGCCCCAACCATGTAGATGAAAAGCCGCCAAGGCGATCTTTCCAATGGTTGAGACCATTAGGACATGATGGGATAGAACCTTTTTCTGGCAAATGTTTTCTGTGTTAAACGGTAAAGCAAAACGAGCCTAGTTTAAGCACTTTTCCACCAGATCCAACAAAACATCCTTTCTGGTAGTTCCACCCGCTCTATTTGCATCCATATAGAAGCGCCCCTTAG